AGGACCTAGGACCTGAGACACCATGGAGAGACAGACAGGCTCGTTAGAACCTGAGACACCAAATTTTAATTTTAACAACTTTGTTGTTATTTAGGTTAAGTGTGTGTGTGTGCGTGCGTGCGCGCGCGTACATGCGTGTGTGTGTGTGCGTGCGTGTGTGTGTGTTCACCTCTGTACAGCACCGACAGGATGATCAGCATCAGGTACGCTCGGCCGCGGGAGCCGAGCATGCTGGGAAACATCAGGAGGACCGAACACCTGCAGGAGGAGGACAAAGCTCCGCCCACCGCACAAACAGCTGGAACAGATGTGAGCCAACAGGTTTGATTCATCCAGATGTTTAGCTCTGATTTAAAGTACAGACTGGAGGTTTTTTTTGTTCGGTCTCCTCACCGATGAAGACGGCTGCTGCTAACAGCTTCAGGTGGAAGGTGAGCGGGAGGCTGTGAGAGACTCCCAGGAACAGGACTGACAGGCAGGAAGCACACGAAGGGTTAATGTATCAGCTGTCACTCACCACTACTCAAACTGATCTGATCCATCAGCAGGAAGATCCACACAGTAGATATAGATATAATAGTTGCTGTCATAATAAACTAATACAAGTAAACATTTAACAATAATAACAACATAATAACAATCACAAAATAATTAAAATCAACAATAAAATAAATACTTTCAAAATATATAGATAAAACCTCAGCGTTACATATTTCAGTATGATTAAAAATATTTGACTATCACAAAAACGTGTTTTGAAAAAAATATATTTAAAAATAAAATCAATAAATGTTCATAAAGCAATTGTAGAATAACAAAAAGCCAAAATGAATAAAAGACAAATGGATAATGCCGAACACTAAGAAGACACTACAGCATTAAGTTCGACCCTAAGTTTGAACAAGTCTTCCAGATAGCGATCACTTCCTCTCATTGATGTATCCACCTGCACCGCTCACTGCTCCAAACAGCGCCCTGAACACCAGGTGAGCCGCCTGAAACCCTTCCGGTCGGCTGAAGACGAACCGATGGACGGCAGCAGGCAGCACGGTCAAACTGATCCTCTCCAGAGCTGGAGGACGGACACAAAGACAAACAAGCAACGAAGCGGCTAGCGTTAGCTACAAGTTAGCTCTCCCAAAAATAATGAGTCCAAGAAAACAAATTTAACTCACTGCTGTGAGGAGCCATCATCCACCCAACGTCTGCTTTCAACCAACTGACCAACAAACAAACCACTCTGCTGTTGTTGTGGTCAGTTGGTCGGTTTGTCGGTTTGTCGGTTGGTCGGTTTGTCAGTTGGAGCTTCTAGAAGTGTTTGTTTGGTCTCCTGGATGAAGAGCGAAAAGAGTAAAAGTCACCCAATGAAAAGTGATGTCATTGTCCAGGTGGAAAGGGGCGGAGTCAGACGGGCTGTCAGAGGAGTCCTGAAAAGGTGAGTTTACACAGGAGGGATAAAACTACAGCTGTTAGCTAGCAGGCAGCTAAAGGCTAACAGATTCATTCTCTCACAGACTGAAGTGATTCTCAGATCAAAACATTTTAGCTCCGTTTTTTTAAAGTCAAAGCTGCATGTGTTAAAGCTGCATTCTCTCTAGTGTCCACC